CAAACCCCATATGATGGACCGGACAAAGTTCTAAGTCGTTCCAAGAAGCACTTTGTAATTGATCTTAACCATCGAGAAGACACTATCAGCATAGATAGACTTAAAAAAGCTCACTTCGACACTCTTACAATTCCACCTATTCCAACTTCTCAGAATTCTTTTCCAGTGAACCAACCACGTCACTCTCCTGACAATACTCGCATAACTCGTTGTGGTCGCCTGTCCACTGGCCAAAACGCTTTGTCACATTCAGTCGTTAGCTTTTGCAAACTCGCTGGAAGGGGGCTCCTGTAGCGTTTTCTGCACAATTACTTGAATTCTTTGCATTTATTTCGCTTAGTGAATTTAGCATTCAGAATCTTCATTTTTAACTTTGATAACTTTTTAATTTCCTGTATATATCCTGTTTGCCATTTCTTAGACACATTACTCACTGCGTTTTCCTTGTAAGAGTACACCTACACAGTGTCTTGTACAGTGTATATTGTTTCGGCCTATTTGACCTTGTTAGCCCAGAGGCTAGGCACACTTCAGCATGCTTCATTTAAGCTTGTACTATCATCCACCAAGGACTTTGTTTTAAGGTGAAATTATTCATTTACAGTCATTGTTCTAGGAATCCAGCTAAGACTTTCCTTTCTTAAGTTTTGTGACTTTCACTACATCCTGTTTCTAACCGCATATAAGTCCTGCATCATTGTACAGCTCCTCAGTATCCCGTATTCAATATTCCGTATTCAGTATGCAGTAATAGTCTGGTTTTCAGTTCTCCAATTCAGTCAATAGTTAGCTTACACTTCTATCGCAACCTTCTTGGTCGTTCTTGCGAATAAAGTTGGTAACAACGCTGAATCAATACTGACTCTCGTGACGACCCTTTGAATTGGTGACCCTATAACTCTAACGGAAACCTGCACCCAGTAGATCTCAACGAGGAAAGCAAGCTCCTAGACCAGGACGGCAACCAACCGTCGCTATGCCAAGAAACATGGAACAACACGCAATCCTTCTAGTCTAAGCTCCGCTAATTCCTCAATTAACTGGTTCACACGGATTCCCTAACCCTATAATCCAACACTTCTTAAATAAACGAGACTGTCTAACAATCCCCCAATCTACAAAGAGATCTGATATAATCGGCAGCTCCCGCAACTGAGAGCAAGCACCACACTAACCGATCGCACCAGCCACACTACAGGTAGATCCCCAACCACCAGCGGTTGTACGTCAGATTTACACCCGCAACTCAGACGGCAACACAACTCCACAGAGCTCTGGTTAGCACGCTGCCATCTTGAGAAGTCCCGGCAACCCACGCAGCAATCTTTGCCCAGACCTAAGGTAATGCGCGCTTCCGATTTGTTGCCGCGTGCATGTTTAATGCATGATTTACATGCCTGAATTATTTATGACCCAGACTAAACACAAGTCTGCGCAGCTGCTACCCTGTTTCGCCACATCTGTTTACACTGTTTCTTTGTCTTAACTTCCCTCTTTCCCGCATGATCTAAGTTAGGTGACTCAGAAACTGATGAAGTACTATCGCCATCCAAAGCTTGAAATGAGTTTTCCGTAGACACACCCCCTTCAGAAAACAATAAAACTGAAAAGTTCAACTCACTACAAAACGGACAAATCCAGTTGCAACTTGAATTCATGAAGGAAAAGTACAGTTCATCATCAATACCACAGCAAGCACAGTGCAGCCATTTATCACAGCTATCACATTGCATCGCATGGTGGTGCCGAAGAACATCACCGTCGCACACACTACATGGAGCATAACAGCTAGGACAATACCATGGTGTTGAATTCGTTACAACATTCTTTGCTTTGGCAGAGTTAATCCCAGCACACTTCAGATGAAGATATGTTTGGCAGTCAAAACAGCGCAGTTTATATTTAGGGCCGGCGACCATTTAGACCCGGTTTGAAAAGGCCCCCCCCCGGTAAGCTCGCCCTGTTGCAAAGACCCCTTTCATACCGGCCTGGCTACCGGCCTGGGATGCTGGACTGGTTGTTGATCTCGAACATCTCCATCCTGGGGTCTACTGTTTGCAAGTACTGGTACATGTAATCCATCCCAGAAGGAACCTGCTTGTGGTTTTTAATCCTTCAGCTCTATACAATGTTTACACTAATCCGCTTAGACCCCTATTCATCTGTGCAAGCATGGTGGGGGAAGCCTTTCATCAGGGACTTTGAAATGCCAATGTGCAGACAGGCCTTATACCGGCCGGAGTAGCCTGAATACCGGGCAGGCATTATACCGGGTGGGCTACCGGAGGGCCCTTTTCAAACCGGGTCTAAATGGTCGCCGTCCCTTACCCAATATTAATTTCCTACAAGAACGACATGACAGACCACTATTGCTTCTAGGTGTTGAAACAGAAACAGGCCCTGGGTTAAGCTGAACATCCCCAGCACATATATAATCCAAAAATAATAATCTTTGAGTCAAAATGTCGACAACAGCTACGCCAGCTACGGCTATGCAGATCAAACTGGCCAATACGAATAAAGACTGGCCTAGAAGTTATCCTCCACTCAAATACAGATTCAAATATATTTACAGTTTGTAATCCTGCGCCTCTATCCCACGTTAACAAGTCAGGGCAGCCCAGGCTTGTTGTGCCTGCACCTGCAAAACTCGTATCTAATGCGCTAACATTCAATAAACCCACTATCAATCTTGCAGTCACAAAAATAAGAAGAGAATTGTTGCATGTGGTGGCGAGGAATGGCCATAATAAAGTCTTA